AATATATATATATATATATATATATATATATATATATATATATAGGAATATCAGTACGTTACTGTGTCACACTTTTGAAATAAAGGGACACAAGTCTCTAATTTTCAATAGCTCATCTTCTGTATAATAAATGCGAATGTCAGTATGTCACTGTGTCACACCTTTATCAATTAAAGGGACACAATTCTTTAACTTTCAATAGCTCATCTTCTTCTATATAATAAATGCTAATATCGGTGTGTCTCTGTGTCACACGTTTTCAGCTTTACTTCTAGAGGCTGTAGCCCAACATATCATTCCTTTTTGGAATCAAGCCGACTCCGTGACAAATTAAAAACATTCCTAGCCAGATCCGGACTCACTATTATGAAATTTTAGATTCCCAGGTTACTGCGATTTATTTTACGTGATACTTTGCGACGAATTTTTTGTGCGAAACAATTTTTATAACTTGGAAATAAATTAGGGAATAATCAAAATTACTTGCGAAATTAAGCAAAAGTCACCCATGAAATAAAAATTATTGTTTGCACAGAAAATAAGGACCTACGTACATCAACTTGTCTTTAAGTGGCGGCAGAAGAATTATCCTTGAATTTTTAAAATGTAATCTTATATGAGTTCTGTAGTTTACAGTTGCCTGTCGCATACGGCAGCACTGTGACTCGCGAAAATATATGTCTATTCCAACAGAAGGCCAGGTTGCAATAAAAAAAAAGACCAAGACTGCAGCGAGGAAAAAGAAATCCTCTGAAAATGAAACCCCAGATGAAACGGCAGCCAGGAGAGTTCGAATGCTGGGAATATGAAAAGACTTAGGGACTCTCAAACTCCTGGACAAGCCAAAGGCCCAATTAAGAGCCCTCCTCAGGAGCTAGCTTAAATGACGCCCCATAGGGCCGCATTTAAACTAGTTATTAATAGTTTCCGATTTTAATGTTCTCTTTCTGATTCTAAGTACAAATGCCCTATTTCGTTAAAAATTCCTTGTTGCTGTCCTTGGTATTCTCAACATCCTTCTGTAGAGCTGCATCTAAACTTGTGAGGAAATTATCCAGCATTCACTGACATTGCCTGTCATATATGATTTTAGCAAGTCTTTTCATTGTCCCTAATGAAATTTTATTGTTACTTTGGTTAGCTTTTGGAAGGCATCTTTCATTATTTCAAATAGAAACTACAGTTGTCCTTTTCCCCCTATTTTGCTTAAAACTTCCTAGTTTCACGCATGTCCCGACCATGTTATACTCATCACAAATATAAACAAGGAAAAAATGCAGAGTATTAAAAACAAAAAAGACCCATGAAAAATTTTAGTTTTTCTATTGGAATTTTCTCATGAGTTATAATTTGTTTTGTTACGGCTTATCAACCCTTTCCAAGAATTGATAAACAAAAACTATCAAAATACAAGGATTTTGAAATCGAAATCTCAAAAATGTCACACATATGAGGAGATCAATAATTCCACCCTTATAGTTGAAATAAAAGATTTAGAAAAAGTTCCAATAGACTCATTAAATGGATTGTTTCCATGCCTTTTGAAAAAGATAAACAATTGTTAAGGTTTACAGACCACACCTTATAAATTGGCTTTATCTATGAAAAAATGCATTGGGACCTGAAAAAAAATGTCAAGACAACAGGAAGCAAAAAATAATAAAAATTACAATAATAATAATAATAAAATTACAATAATCTTAATAAAAAAATAATAATAATAATTAAATAATAATAATAATAATACCCGTAAAGAAGGTGGAAGAGGTCTTATTCAGCTAGAATTGTCATACAAGACAACAACTATTGGCTTACTAACTTACATGGAAACAACAAATGACTGGATGATAAAATTAGTGAAACAACATGAAAACAGAAAAAAAAATATTCAATAATAAAAGAAGGCAGTAAATACAAACAACATTTACATTTAGTAGATTCTGTAGTAAATCAAAACAGAAGCCAAGAACCAACTATTGCAGCAAAAGATATGAAAAAAAAAAGAAAGCCAAGGATAAAGCCCTTGAACAGATGAAACAACGCTGGCAAGACAAACCTCTGCATGGCCAATATCCAGAAATGCAAATAAACCCAATGTTGATAAAGTTAATACTCATCGATGGTTACGAGCATCTGGATTAAAGTCTGAAACTGAAGGCTTTATTCTTGCAGCGCAAGACCAGAGTCTTTTCACTAGGAATTTTCAGGCAAATATCATACATAATAATGTGGATCCAAAATGCAGGTTCTGTGACAAATACCAAGAAACAATAGACCATCTAATCTCAGGATGTTCTATACTTGCCCCAAATGAATATAAAAATCGTCACGATAGAGTGGGGCAATACTTACACTGGACAATGTGCAAACACTTTGGAAAATGTGTAAGCAAACACTGGTATGAACATCGGCCAGCGCCGGTTACAGAAATAGAAGATGTCACCATTCTATGGGATTATACCATCCACACAGACAGAAAAATTGAAGCAAATAGGCCGGACATTATTGTCAAAAACCAGAAAGAAAAACTTGCCTACTAATTGATATGGCTTGTCCAGCGGATTGTAAACATAGCAACCAAGGAATTTGAAAAACTATCAAAATACAAAGACCTGGAAATTGAAATAGAAAAAAAATGTGGAAATTGAAAACAAGAATAATACCAGTGGTAATAGGTGCACTTGGAATTATAAAAAATGGAACAAAACAACACATTGAAAGAATCCTGGAAACCCCAGCTTAAGAGACATACAGAAAATTGTCTTATTAAGTACAGCACACACACTAAGGAGAACTTTGTCTATGTAACGCTAGCAACTTCATCGGAGAAAAAAAAAAAAAAAAAAAAATTAACATGAAATGTGGCCATAACAACACACCACGACCTGCCTTAGGTCTTTCCGCAGACTTGGTAGGTAGTGTGTCCATAGCAGAAATCGAATGATGATGATAATAATAATAATAATAATAATAATAATAAATAATAATAAGAAAATAATATAATAATAATTAAAATAATACAAATTTAAAATAATAATAAAATAATAATTCTTTGCAGACGTAGTTTAAAAGAAAAAATATACTAAGTAAAATAATATAAAGCCAAGAGTCAATCAAGCTATATTTACCGTGAATTTTGCCCAGAAAATTGATTAATTTATTCATTTTTGCAAAAAATCTTTTCCAGGTAAATTTAAAGCCAGGAAACATATTTAGAATCTAAGATTTATTTTTGAAAAATAATGACTTACTGATACAAATAGGTGGAGGGGAGAGGTGGATTCATGCCTAATTAGAATTTTCTAAATAAACAAGAAATTATATGTGTATATAAAGTACTTTTACACCACCTACACACCCAAGTTTACAGCTCCTGAAATTCCCAAGCGGTCACCCATCTAGGTACTGAACAAGCTCGGCGTGTCTCAACTTCGATGATCCTACTGGAACTCGGCTCCACGATTAATAACTCCAAACCATTATCCATTACACCACCCGCACACCTAAGCTTACAGCACCTGGTATTCCCAAGCGGTCACCCATCTATGTACCGATCAGGCTCGACGTTGCTTAACTTTGGTTGTTTTACGGAACCGGTGTTTCAACGAGATATATCTATAAACCTCATAATTCCGAAGTTAATTATTGAATAAACTATAAAATATCCGCTGAAATTCTTCCATAGCATCATCGTTAAATATTTGAGCTAAACACTTTTACTAAAATATTACGATAACAATCATAAATATGAAAACAGATCATTATTTAAGAAGTAAGCGGGTACAAATCAAAATATTTAATATTGACAAGTGTTCTTTTCATTTTTCTGAAGAAGACGCTTAACACACTAGAGTGACGTTCCTAGCTCGCTTTCTAATATAGTGCCCAAGAGTCACTCAAGCTATAAGGTTACCGTGTAAGTGTTGCAGGAACTTAAGAAAATTGATTAATTTATTCTTTTTTTTACGGCTTATCAACCCTTTCCAAGTAATTTAAAGCCAGGAAATATTTTTAGATTCTAAGAATTTTTTTGAAAAATAATGACTTACTGATACAAGCAGGTGTGGGGGGAGGTGGATTCATACCTCATTAGAATTTGGTAAACAAACAAGAAATTATATGTGGATATAAAGTGGGGGATCAATTCTACATTACTATCAATATATAAACTGATCCCCCACTTTTCGGCTACGTTAGTTTCTGTACATTTACATTCCAGGCAATGTAAATAAATCTAAAAGATATGCAGGTGCAGATAATTAATATTTCATTGACTGATTGATTCGTTTTCTACAACTTTAACCCATAGTTGGGAGGAGAAGAGGTGGATTCATATCTTTCGCTATTTGCACGTAAGTGAATATAACGAACCCAAAGGGAATTAAAAAATCTCGTCTCTCCGATACGCGAGATATTATTTATTACACCACCCACACATCCAAGCAGTCACCCATCTAGATACTGTCCAGTCTCGTCGTTGCTTAACTTCGGTGATTGTACAAGAACCGTTGTTTCAATGTGATATAGCCGTAAGCATTTTGCACCACCTACATACCCAAGTTTACAGCTCCAGGAATTCCCAAGCGGTCACCCATCTTGGTACTGAACAGGCTCGGCGTTGCTCAACTTCGGTGATCCTACTGAAACTCGACTCCACGATTAATAACTCCGAGTCATTATCCATTAAATTTCACGTGAATATAAAAAACTTACCGCATCTGGTATTCCTAAATTTTGTCACCCATCAATTTACTAAACTAGGCTAGACGTTGTTCAACTTCGATGACCGTACATGAAATCGACTCTCTATTTAATAATTTCGAGCCATTATCCATAACACCATCCATACATTCAAGCATACAGCACCTAGTATTCCCAAGCGGTCACCCATCTAGGTACTGACCAGGCTCGACGTTGCTTTACTTCGGTGATCCTACGGGAACTCCGCTCCACGATTAAAAACTCCGACATTATCTATTACACCTCCCGCACATCCAAGCTTACCGCATCTAGTATTCCCAAGCAGTCACCCATCTAGGTACTGACCAGGCTCGACGTTGCTTTTCTTCGGTGATCGTATGGGAATTCGTCTCCCCTATTAACAATTCCAAACCATTATCCATTACACCATCCGCACACCCAAGCTTACAGCACCTGATATTCCCAAGCGGTCACCCATCTATGTACCGATGAGGCTCGACGTTGCTTAACTTTGGTTGTTTTACGGAACCGGTGTTTCAACGAGATATATCTATAAACCTCATAATTCCGAAGTTAATTATTGAATAAACTATAAAATATCCGCTGAAATTCTTCCAAAGCATCATCGTTAAATATTTGAGCTAAACACTTTAACTAAAATATTACGATAACAATCATAAATATGGAGACAGATCATTATTTAAGAAGTAAGCGGGTACAAATCAAAATATTTAAAATTAGCAAGTATTCTTTTCATTTTTCTGAAGAAGACGCTTAACACACGAGAATGACGTTCCTAGATCGCTTTCTTTCTTTTATATTTTTCTTGAGTCATTCCTTTTTGCTTTACCTGCTTCCGTTTTCTTTCTTTAACTTTGCTTAGTTTACTTCTTTTCTTCCTTTCCTTTTTATTTCCCTAAAATCAAACAACGCCTTTGATATGACAAGAAATACATGTGCAGATTTCACGGTTTTCCTATTTTAATTTTCTGATGAATTATAATTCTTAAGTTAAGGACTAAATAAGCTCGTTACAAATTTCACGACTATAAAATACCCGTGAAAATTCTCCTATTGTCTCGTTAAATATGTGAGCTCCACAACTTTAACCAAATATGCCAATAAAAATCATATGCGGTCCATTAACGAAGTATGAGGATACAAATGAAAAGATTTGAAATTGACAATGTTTTCTATCTCAATGAAGCAGATTGTAAACACTCAAATGTGTTATCGCCTTCTCTATATTTTCTTTCTCTCCTTCTTTCTTTCTTTCTTTTTTTCTTTCTTTCTTTCTTTACCTAAAACCAAATAGCGTCTTTCCTTCCGTTTTCAGGACAGGTGACAGTCAAGCGATGATATGTCTATCCTCGCAATCAAACAAGAAGAATGAACCATTGTGTTTTCTGATTTAATGACAGGGCGTAATGTACGTGCAAAATTTTGAAACGAACGAACAAGCACAATTGCAAAATTGGTATAGTATTCTAGATTAAAATGACGCAAAGACGGATACAGATTTGTAGATCTTTCTATCTTCTCCTTTCTTTTTCTCACTGAAATCAAACAGCGTCCCTGATATGTCTTTACCGTCTTTCCTCGCGACCAACACTGAATAGTAGATTTTTTCGCTGTTGGGAGGGCGTAACGTACACGTTAAGGGAAGAACATAAGTATTCGAATATGTTTGTTTTCTGGGAACATATTAATATATCTTCAATTTATTGGAAATATATTGATACATTCAGTAAGATAGTTTGGAAAGGAAATTTTTTAAATACACACACACACTTTACACAAATATATATATTATATATATATATATATATATATATATATATATATATATAAATATATGCAATCGTCAGGCATTGACGATTGCATCTAATGAAACAGCCTGTCGCCTCTAAGATGTTGACTTCTATGTTCACTTTTATATTTACACACGCTCTATCTCTGATAAAAAGCACTTTATCTCATAAATATAGCACATCTAAAGACTATATTTCTTCATATATATATCATATTTTTAATTTTTTTTATTAAGACAGCAAATTCTTTTTTTTAGACATGTTTGATTAAATAAATTACAGTCTGAATGTTTATGTCTGCTAATTTTTTAATAAAATCTGTTCATACTCATGAAAAAACCTTTATATATATATATATATATATATATATATATATATATATATATATAATATATTTAAGACTATATTTCTATAATATATATATATATATATATATATATATATATGTAGATATATAGATATAGATATACACAAAGCGTGTGTAACAGCAAAATTGTTCAAATCGTGTAACAGCAAAATTGTCCAAATGTTAGATTAAGCTTTGAATTTATTGTATCTTAGAAATGGTTAAAGATATTTTACTGGAATTCTCTGAGGTTTTTATAACACTAATATAATCTACTTTGAATAATAAGAATGTATTTAGTTATTAGTTGAAACAATGATCCCTCTTCCTGTTGTGACCTCCTCTTCCTAGTTTTTAGATTTATTCACCTTTCTCTTGATGGTTCTTCAATAGACTTTGAAGACGGGAGCCAGATTATGAATGTTGGTACCATTACTGAAGGCCTGAATGATCTTTCCCCTATCACCATTGCTCGGTTGAGAAGACATAGTGGGACTGACACAAAACGATTTTAACCTGTCCTCTTTCAAAATGAATAACTCAAATTGTTTTTCAATGACTTTTACGACAAATGGCGTCAAAATGGCTTAATATATTATCGGAAAACTTAGAAAAAAGAAAATCAATTAATTTAGCGTTTTTTTTTTGTTGTTTTTTTACATATTAAACATTTTGTGAGATGGACAATTATCCCATTTTGTTGTTACACACGGTATATATATATATATATATATATATATAATAACTTCTCCCTGTTAAATTTTAACCCCCACCTTTAGGCCTTTCCTGTTCTTATTTCTTCTATTACACCCCCTCTCTAAAGCTTTCATACATCTCACTTTCCAACTTGTTTCCCACTCCCGCACATACACTGTCACTAAATTTTTTTTTTTTATACCCGGAGTTATATTTTCCGATTTCCTTTTGAATTTGTAGGTTGATGAATTGGATCGTGATTACGATTCCAATGTAATAAATTATAACCATGGAATATTAGTGTTTCAGCCTTTTTTATTAGACTGTCCTGGACATTGAGTCCTACCTGGATTCTATCCTCTTGGAAATTTATATATATATATATATTGACCGCTAATATCATATATATATATATATATGTTAAGAAATGGACAAGGTCCGACAATTTATTTATTAAAGACATTTTTATGTTTAACGTTGTTATTTATAGATACAAGTATTTAAGCAAATGCTCTGTTTATGATAAACAGTATTAAATAACATTTACCGGCCTGAATGTCCGAGAAATTTTCATAGAAAATATTCGTTCTTTGACAGGATTCGAACCTGCATCCTATACGGAACTGTCATATATGCTGACGTGCCGTGACCGCTCGGCCACAATACTTAAATACTTGTATCTATAAATAACAACGTTAAACATAAAAATGTCTTTAATAAATAAATTCTCGGACCTTCTCCATTTCTTAACATATGACGTCATTTGTTTACATTCGATACGCCAGAGCAGTTATGAATGTACGAGATTCATGGAAGATTGAAGTTTATAAACAGTAAATTCGACCTTGTCTGCCGTAAGGTTCTTTGTGGCCGAGCGGTCAAGGTTCGAATCCTGTCAAAAAACGAATATTTTCTATGAAAATTTCTCGGACATTCAGGCCGCTAAATGTTATTTAATACTGTTTATCATAAACAGAGCATTTGCTTAAATACTTGTATCTATAAATAACAACGTTAAACATAAAAATGTCTTTAATAAATATATATATATATATATATATATATATATATATATATATATATATATATATATATATATATATGTGCGTGTGTGTGTATTGACCACTAATATCATATATATATATATTAAGCAATTCTAATAATGTAGCTCCTAAACCTTGTTCCGGTATCCATTTAGTCAAGTTAAGTTATGCACTGTTTCCTCTCTCCCCCTAGCTTTCAATCTGTCCTGTGAGTATCAGATTCTTCAAATCTTCTTTCCTCATCATGTATCCTAACAAATTCCCCTGTCACTTCTTTGTGTTATTTTAAGTTTCCGTTTTGTTTCCATTTTCTCTAAAACTTCGTCGTTGGTTACGTGTTCGGCCCATAATATTCCAACCATCGTTCTGTAGAACCACATTTCTGTTGCTTCAAGTATCTTCTTCATCTGTAAGGAGATTGTCCAGCATTCAATGTAATATAAGAGGATAGACAACACGTAAGAGTTCAGTACTCTTTTCTTTGTTTCTCTTGCTTCAAGTCTCTTCTTTATCTGTTTCATCTGCCATATTAGAGGGATATTGTCCAGTTTCATTCACTTTGTTTCATATAGGAAGTCTTCTTCATCTGTGAGGAGATTGTCCAGCATTCACTGTCATATAGGAAGACAGATATTACATAACAGTTCTGTTCACTTTTCTTTGTTTCTCTTACATCAAGGCTCTTCTTTATCTGTGAGGAGATTGTTCAGCATTCGCTATCATATATCAGGACTGATATTACATAACAGTTCAGTGCACTTTCCTATTGCTACTTCATCTGTGAGAAGATTGTTCAGTATTCACAACCGTATAGGAGGACTGATATTGCATAAGAGTATAATATAATATTGCATATAAATTGGGGGTTCTGTTTTTCTATTGTTATTTATTAATAAATAAATCCCTGATAATTACTATATATTAAGATAATAATTGGCTAAATATATTTAAACTCACAGATACGAAAGCCCATCAATATTTAAAAAAAACTTTTCCTGCATTTTTAAGCCTGCGTAAAATATTAGTATTATAATGTTTAATATACATAACGTGGGATCCGATTCAATTCGAATCTAGTGGATATATACTATCCCACCCATAAACCTGTAGTGTTTATTTTAAAAGTAGTTGATGGTGCAAAAGGATGAGGTAACAATACAATCAATTTTATTATTAATTACACCTTTTAATTTGTATTTAAAGACGCAAAAGAAGGTTTAGTGTTCCACTGAACTTCAGAGTTAACACATGAAAATTTGAACTAATAGCTTAATACAGGTTGTATTATGTTTCAAAATATTAAGTATATTTTTATCGTTTCCTCCTCGCATTTATTTCAAATTACGTAACGGCAGCAAACCAGCGTGCATTTATTTACCATCAAGTCATGTAACTTATAGAATCTTCACTTTTCAAGTAATTTTTATCTCATATCTAATTTTAATAACATCTGGCGCTTTACTCGGCAGGTTATCAACGTACAATATC